CGAATGCAACCCAAAGCAGGTTGATGTGACAGTGTTGCGTACCAGCGCCACTGTGATTTACACATCAGTTAACGGGATTATTTTGGCAAGTGAAAAAACCCTAATAATTTTCATGAAATTTAGACAACTGTAGCATCCCAGTGAGAGCGAACCACATACGCGTTTTCATCATGTCTTTCCTCTTCGTGCTACTCTCAGTGGCAGTGGTTAGTTATTCTCAATCATACAGCTTTAGGATCGAAAAAAATTTTCGGTATTTTTCAATTTATAAAATAATGAATAACTGTCGATTCTTGAAACACTAAACACTTCTATGCACAAAATCTCGTTCAGTTTAATGTATTATGCATATGAGTGATACGCATGTGCTACTTGTAATGTCACATATTAACGATTCAATTTTCTTGCCATCTATGTGCTATTTAAAATCAATGTTTGTTTGTTGAAGGAAAGGAATTGAGTGCCAGCGGTATAGGGTTGTAAGGCCTTGCTACTGGAGTAGAAGACTAGCTCTATTATTTTTGACACAAATCCTTTTGGTTGTACTGACGCTTTTCAGGGCTCAAACCTCTGGGAATTTTAGACATTAATAGTTTTTTGTTTTCTTACAAATTAAATGCGGGTAGTAAGTTCATAAGCACTGAAATCAAGTTTTTGTCAAACGCTGCTGCTGTAAAACATGCATGCAGCGTGTCGCAAAATTGCATGCTACTATCAAGAAAAAGGGAGGAAGAATCGTATTTTCCGCCCCTCTCGGCATCACGCAAAAAATAATTTTTGCTCGAAATCTAGCTTGAGACTATTCTCACAAAGTCCAGCTTCATGACTTCTAGTTTTTGGGCTGGACGCGCAGATACTACTGAACACATATGTGAACATAAATGCTCTTTCTGATTTATGAAACTGCAAAAAATTATTTCAAAAGAAAAGTAGGTTTTTCGTAAAGTTGTTTAAAATGAACATATAATTTTCATTTTGAACTCAGTCGTTTGTCAACTCTGGTTTCAGCTGAATTTCAACTCAATTTTATATTCTAGTCATTCATTGATCAATGCGAATTAATGGTACCTGCACGAAATATGCTCCTGGGAAAACATGATCGTTGGATGATCGTTTATCATGAAGGCTACTGCAGTTATACCGCATTACCCATGTATTCCGCCACCAATTTCGTTTGGATATTGAAAAACAGCATGAAACTGGTCAAGTAAGCGTTGGAGGCAGTAAAAGCCGAAATTCTGGTAATTCGAAAAAAAAAATCCTTTTTGGGAGGAAGGAAGGACGAGCGGCGGAAGGAAAACGAGAGAACAAATCGAAAACTTGTAAAAAATTCGTAAGAACATCATAGAAAACTTCTTCGGTTCGCCGTCATGACTTATAGTCGGAGTCCCAATTCATCAACTATTGGCACTCACTGTCGGTTAAAACAACCATACAGGAAGTGGTATACCCGAACAAGTGGGATTTTGAGGAGTTTTTTGCTCCCTGGTTACTGATCCGCCGGCGCAAACCAGGTCGAAGAGCATGAAGCCAAATTTTCTTTTTCTCGCGCAGCTTCACCCTCGTGCGTGCTACACGACACGCGTTGTGTTTCTGCGTTTCTGCATGAAATTACTGCGTCCCCGGTTGTCTGTCCACTATGCTTACTGTCGTCTCTACTGTCTAAGCTGAATCAAACAAAATACGGTACAGCGAATTTCCGATATGCTTGGAGCTGCCAGTGTTTGTATCTCGGTGAGCCTTAACACTGTCTATTTCGCTGTCATTATCAAACTGTAATGACGTATTTGGACTGATGCTTACGAATTTCATCGTGATACATTTTTTAAATCATGCTGACATCCAAATGCTTGGGCGCGCTAGGGCTTCAAAGTTCTTTGCCTGATGGTGTAAAATGGGACAGTTGCTCAACGCTTTCAGAAATCATCGGCGACGCGTACCGGTCGGGCTCGTTCGATCGTGCGTTTCTGCAGTATTTCGTGCTGTAATGAGATCACTCGAAGCCCGGTAGCTAGAATGTGTGACATACTGGTCCTCGAATTTCGGAAAGTTAATAATTTAAGCAGTACTTGGACAGGAAATATTCCGTTAAAATTTCAGCTTTTCAACATTTCTGGTCCCCGAGCTAGCCATTTTCCCGCTAAAAATTTTCACGGAGCTGCACATGAGAACCGCGCATACCTGGGGGCTGAATCTGAAATCTTTGAGTCTAATTTGGGCGAGGAAAATAATCGCAAAATTTCAGCTTCCTAGCTTTCTGCTTTCCGAGTTAGCGATTTTCACACTGAGACTTCTACGTGCTCGTATCCGAAGCCCAGAAGTGCGTGAAGGTTGTTGATACCGCAGTCCTGGGGCGGTACTTGGCCGAGGAACTCACTGGCAAAACTTTGGCGCCGAAGCCTGCTTGAGTGCCAAGTTGAAACACCTGGACAGACGCACACACATACATGAACATATACACACACACCTGGGTCGACACAATATGCCCTTTTGTATCTGCATGCAAAAAATTATTGGCGACGCACACCAGGCGGGCCCTGTGCGTTCATGCGTTTTTGCACCGGACTTGAATTACTCAGGTCATCATTAACTGTATGAATGACTGCTGCTTTACACCTACCTTTTGCGGTCACTAGCATAAAACACTCCAAATTTTGCATAAAATAAGTGTACAATTTTCATTTAACAGTCGTTCTTTAAAAGTAACCTAGCTGTTCAATGAGAAATTCTTCCGCCAAAACTTTTAAGTGCCCGTGCGTGAGAACTACGGATACCTTGAGCTGAATTTGAAATACTTAAGTTATACTTGGACAGGAGACATTCCCCTAAAAACAGGAAACATTCCCCTTGAGTTTTCTAGCCTTTTTAGTTCCCAAGTTAGGAATTTTCCCACAGAAACTTTCGTGCGCTCTTACGTGAGTACCACACACAACTGAGGGCTGAATTTGAAATAACTGAGTTGTACTTGGACAGGGAACATTCTCCCGAAATTTCAGCTTTCCAGATTTTCAGTTAGCAGTTCTCCCGTCAAAACTTTCGCATGTCCGTACGTGGGTACTCCACGTGCCTGGAAAGCTGAATTTGGAATTTTTAAATTGCATATGGAGTGGAATCTTTGATTTCTA